AAACCTCTCAGTCTTAGTTAAGCCTTAAATCTTCTTGAAATGGAAAATGTTTTATGACAGCCCATCTCCTTTGCTAATATCCATGCTTTACATAATATTCGAATATGCAGACATTTGCATTTAGTTAATGGTAAGTCTTTTCTAAATTCTTAGTTATGATGTAAGGGAAGTATTTTTTTTGGCTATAGTTCTTTAATTTTACAGAACACATTGGAAGGTTGTTTTAAATTTTGTTTAAATATTCTTTGAACCAAAATATTTACAGAACAAGGAGTTCTTCTATCCAACAGATTGTTCCGTTTGTTGTGTTTGAGTGAGGAGACATTAGGAATGACAGCACAAGATGATGCCAGGGAGCTTTTTCATAAACAACCTAATAGCATTGTCTGATGTAGTCTCTGTTTATTAAAGGTGTCAGAATCCTTTGCTATTTTAGGTAAAATTTAAATTTGTTACTCAAGCATGAAAATATTGTTTGTGTTCTTATTAGGAGGAAAGTAGTATCAAATATAAGAAGTATACTAAACTAGGAATAATAAAAAGAGACTCAAGTTCAAGAAGGAAAGCATTGCAATTTTATTTTTTAGAGGAGGTACACAAATGCTTATATTTAATATCTTAAATATGTTGTGCCTTCTTATGTGATCATTAACTGATGAATACCTATTTTTAAGGTGATTTAAATTATATAATAGAACAAATATTTTTTATTACATTTACAATAATGCTACCTAACATGATGAGGCTGAGATTGGGTTCCCCATATATATGCATCCTATATTTTAAGAGTTTATTTTCTCCTTAAGAAACAATGACTTTAATAAGGAAATAAGTACATGTTGAATTTAACATGGATGGAAGCCATTACTGGCACAAGTAAGCCTAATGTTTATGACAATAATAGAAAATGGTCTTAGAGCTTAAAAATATTTGTATCGGAGAGTACAGTTGGATGGTTAGTATTCATATAGAATATTAGTAGATAAAAGAGGACTTTAATTGCCAATTCTCCATTTTAGATTTAATCTAATGGGACTCATACATATGATATTGGGGTATGTGTGTGTTTGTGTGCTAATTAGCATGCTCTGAATTGGAAAAATGTAATGAAGTTGTTTTTCAGGAATGCCAATCTTAAAGTACTCTTAAGGTTTCATGAATAGTTTGCTTCTATTTTTTATTTATTTTTAGAATGTGCAGTATACTAGTGCTATAGGCTAAATGTGTTTTTTCTCTGCAGTTTATACGTTGAAATCCTAATCTCCGATATGCTAATACTAGAAAGTGTGGGTCTTGGTAGGTCATGGGGATAGAACCCACACTGATAGGATCGCTACTCTTATAAAAAGACTCTAGAGAACTCTTTTACTTCTACCAAGTTAGGATTCAGCAATGTGACTGGTCTGTAAACCAGGAAGTGAGCCTTTACTAGTCACTTAATCTGCTAGTATATTGATCTTCAACTTCCCAGCCTTAAGAACTGTGAAGAAAAAGTTTGCTATTTAAACCACCGAATTTTTCATTGAGGCAACTCCAAAAAACTAGAATAGCAAATAAAATAATTACTTGAAATCCTTAAAAATAATAGCAGCAGGGCCCTCCCTGGTGGTGCTGCGGGTTAAAGCACAGCACAAAGAAGCTTAAGACACTTCCACATGAGTTCAATCCCCGCCTTCCCTGGAGGTGACCACATGGTGTGGCAGACCTCTCCTGACCCGCCTGGTGCTCCCCTCAGCGGTGTACTTCGTGGATCTGCCTGTTCTGCTCCCCACTCTGTCTCTGGTGAATCCTCTCACCCTCTGCATCTCTGACCTGTACCCCAGTTCTTGACGAATAAATAAATAAATCTTAAAAAAAAAATAATAGTAGCAACCAGGCAAAGTTGACAGAGTGAAGGTAGTCATAAATTTTCTTCCTTTAATGTATAAAATGAAAACTCAAAACTCATAAATCAAGCAAACAAAATTACTAACAATGACCACCTACGGTAAATGACCTAATTTCTTGCTTGCTTGTTTAAAAAGTAAAAATGAAGCAGACAGCGACAGTTTAGCTTATCATATTTTCTAAGCACTGCCCATAGGATATCACTTACATCACTAGAGGGTAAAAACTGATTCATTAAATCCGGAGAATACTTTTATTTTTAATTTAGGAAAATGCAAATTGAGGCAGTGAATTGAAGGCCATGGAAAAGTCAGAGAAAATCCCTAAGACTTGAAAATTCCTTAATTCTCTGGGGTACCTAAGCAGAGTCAAAGAAAACCAAAACCAACCAGTGCTTATCACTTATTAATTCTCCAACTTGTAAAAACCAAACCAAACCAAAACCAACCCCCCCCCCCAAAAGGGGGAATTTTATAATTCATATTAAAAGATATTCATAGCACACACAAATCTTAAAATTCTGGAGGAAATCTCAAGGTTTTCCCTCCCAAACAGAATGTTTTCCTACTTTTTTGTTCTGTAGAACTATAAAAGTCTGACTTTGTGAGCTTAAAACTGAATGACTAAAGGAACAAAGACTAGAGTAGCACAATTTTAAAACTAGTTTATAGATTAGGTAGAATGTAGTAAAGTCAGGTTATTCTCATAGAGGGAATTTAGAATTAAAAGTGACATACATTTTAATAAAATGTATTCAGCTTTTTTTTTTTTTTTCATTTTGCTCCATGACTTACTGCACATACTATTTTCAAAAATTGTTGGAATGCTACTAAATCAGTGTTTTGGGTCATTACTTCTCAGTAGTTAATTTTGCATTTTTTTTTTAACTTTAAAAATTTTCCATATTGTTGCTTGAAGAAAATACACTAGCTTTCTGGGTACTTTGGTTTGACTTGGTGTGGTAATATATAAGAAGAGGTATGAAACTATACCCCTAAATCATACACAGTAACATTCATATATATAACATTACCTCAGTTAAAAAGAAAATGACTTAAAGTACCGTTTTTCTTGAAACACAGCCTTGTCTTTAAAAACCCTGTTTATCAAGCATTGCTAATGAAAAAAAATGAATGTTTGTGTCCTCAACAACCTCAACAAGGTTGTCCTCAAGAATTTTATTGATTTTAATCCTTAAAAGCTGTAATATTCCTCTTCTTTCCATTATAGGCCTTGTTTACATATGTATATGTTAAGTAAGTAATTTTACGATAAGAATTTTTTCATATTTGGTATTCACTCATACTTTTTTAATGAATAAAATTTATTTTGACAAATCTTTTTAAAATTTGTGATATACTGTGGCCATCATTCAATGTCAGGTTCCTTTCCTTTGTTTTTAAAATATGTACATATTTCTATTTTTTTCCTGTTTTATTTACTTTTTACATCTTTGTTTAATTTTTGGATAGTATTTGATTTCTCCCTTCCAGTGTGGACCTTGTAGTTCTTCCACCACCATAGCACCATGATCCATCACCAATCTCTTGTGTTTCTTTCTTTCCTATTTTGACTCTTCTTTCTCCCCGGTTGTTAAGACTAATGCGAATGCCTCATCTGACATTTGGCAGGTTAGAAACTTTGGTGGGATCTTAGGAGTATCCTTAGTTGTTTGCAGACCTCAAATCCCAACATCATAAATGCTAGCAAAGTACATGGAACTCTAGGGTCAGATCAAGGAGTTTGTTTCAACAGTAGCAGCAAGGGAGGTGACAATGTAGCAGCAGTGCATTTTTTTTCAAGAGAGAGAGATTATCTTTATTTTTCTGAAATGCCCATGCAAGTCAGTTTCATTTGAACAAACTTCATGTTTCTTAATGGAAGATGATTTCTGTGAATATGTGGCCAATGACTACGGATTTAAAAAAAAAAATCTTTGAATTTTTTATCTAGTAAGAATTTTAAACAGGAGTAAATTCTTAGAAATTGAACCATTTGATTTCTATAGGAAAGTTATGAGTACACAACTTTTCCCTCCTTTTCTCAAATATCTTATTAAAATTGTATGTAGAATTAAGATAATTCTATCATGTAGGTAATGCTCCTGAATGCTCAGAGTTCAATGCTCTACTAAATAACAAATATTGTATTTTATTATTATAAACTAAAATGCATTCTAAAAATAATGAAATGTTACTATGCAGTTATTATAGCAGAGATAACATAACAAATCTCTTGTCTAGTAATTTTTGTTCATATACTTATAATAGGAAAAATAGAATGTTGAACTATATGGAATAAAAGTTTATAAGGCCCTCCCTGGTGGTGCAGCGGGTTAAAGCACTGCACTGAGAAGCTTAAGCCACTTCCGCATGAGTTTGATTCCCGCCTGCCCTGGAGGAGTCCACATGGCGAGGCAGACCTCTCCTGACCCGCCCGCTGCTCCCCTCAGCAGTGTACTTCGTCGATCTGCCTGTTCTGTTCCCCACTCTGTCTCTGGTGAATCCTCTCACCCTCCGCATCTCTGGCCTGTACCCCAGTTCTATATGAATACATAAATAAATCTTTAAAAAAATAGTTTATAAGGAAAGATTTTATATTACTTGTATTATTCCTTCAAAATGTAGTCTGGCACTACCTCTAGGAATAATCTCTTTTTCTTTTATTATCATTGCCTTGATTCAAGCTTTATTTCTTTCTCACATTATTGTCATTCCAGATTTAGTTAAATCTGGTTTTTGTAACTAGTTTTTCATATGATTCTTGAATACGCTAATAACCCCTACTTAATCAACTTTATTTTCAGCATTCTCTGCAACATGTTCTTTAAGAAAAACTGTTTCTGAATATATCTACTTATTTTATCCTTATCTGAATCAATTTCCTGTGTCTTTATTTGCTAGAATAACATTCATTGTTCATGGACTACTTCAACCATCTTTTTATTGGGAGCCTTACAAAATTCAGCCTGAATTATTTTGTTTTCCTATGTGGGCCTTACCTTTACCACCTATAACAATTTAGTGCTCATTTGCAACAAAGATGTTTATGTTCATGTTTGGTTTAATCTATATAGCTTGTAAACTCCTTTTTCCTCAATTTTGTTCTCCTAGCATGTTAAAGTCACATCTGGAGCTCTGTGTCACATTGACAGAGATCTTCAGCAAAACATCTTACAGCAATGCTACAGTTTTGTTTGTGTGAATGTAAGTAGTAAATACCAATGACAGAAAACACTTGTGCGTCTGCATAAATGTAATATAAACAAGAACATATTTTTCTTTATTCTTAAATATTTAAATTTAAGATTTTGATAAATGATGAGTTATTGAAATGTTTTCAGAATTTATTTTTGTCTTTTGAAATAAGGAAGTAAACATGTTCTGAGTTGTTAATGCCCATAAAAAAGGGTGATATTTTTCTCTAGACAGTATTTTAGCTTTGTAACTGTTGTAGATGACACAGGTTTGAATGGATGAATCATTCCATTTTTAATAGGTATAACCTTATGATTATTTTTAAAAAATTGAAAATTCAGAATTAACCTGTATAAATATTTTGATTATTAATGTAAAAGCTCTCCATTTCTGTCCTTGAATTAACTGTTAAATCATGTCAGAACTTCCTTTTACTGTAATTTTTCTGATCTTTTTCAGGTTATGACCTCTGATTTCCAAGAAACTCATAAATTACTGAAAATGCTGAAAGAGAGTAATCTGTCTAGTTTATATCCTGTTGTTGTTATATCAGTAAGTAAACTAATGTAGATTTTTTCCTTCACTTGCCTTTATTTCTGTGGTCCTTTAGATGAGCCAACAAGTTTTGAAAACAACAACCAATTTTATTTCCTTCCTTAAAACAGTAAAGTACATTGTGAGTTTTCTAGTTGATTTTGGTAGTGTAAAAAGCTCTTTATTTAGTGTATAACCAGGATGCCATTACAAAAGAATCACAGGAGTTTGAAATGGAGAAATTAAGTCACATGAAAAAAGATTTACATTTAGGGTTGCTTCATTTTTTTCTGCTCCATGTGCAGCAGAAGTAGGACAAGCATCCTATTACAGAGAATTCCTTGAAGTGTGGACTATTAAAGAATTTGGAGAAATATTTGTGTGAAAATCTAAAAGTGCATGTTTAGATTCGAATTTACTTTATTGGGCTGTTAAACTGCATAGCAGAGAGGAAAGAACAAAACCTGGAAGTGACAAAAGCAGCCCAACCAAAGTAGACATGAAATAGACTGTAATCTGAAGTATTTTGCTGTTAGAAGTGGTTGGAAACAAGCAATTTGGAAAAGTACTCTGGAATGGGAAAATTACTAAATTTCAAGACTGTCATACCATGTAAGAAGTTAATTCTTACTAGAAGAGATTAATGAAGAATAAAGATAATACTTTGTATTTCTAGACAACATATAACTCTAGACTGAACAAAATAGAAGCAAATTAGCAGTTAGGGAGGATTATTTCCCTGGCTTGTTGCATTTACTTATGTCTCACAACACCTGCTCCCAAAATGCTACTGTCATGCTCCTGTGAAATCAACACCCCCACCATTTCTGCCATGATCCTTCACTTCCTTCTTGTAGCCACCATATGTTTTATAGATTCTAAGAGTTAAAATGCTATATTAAATTGGGAGATTGTCATGCTATAATTAATATTTATTCACTGATGATTTTCTCAGGGTATAAGAAGACTTGGTGTGGCGATATTAAGGTTACTATTAAACTTAATAAGCAAAAGTCACTAAAACATGTCTCGAATCCGTATCCTTAGTATGGAGCAAGTCACTGGAAAAGGTAGAAAAGATAATGGTTGCTTCTTAGACTGAAAGACAAGTGAATAGTGTCCTGATTTTTAATTGTTTTGTTAAATGTTTATATAAATAGCTCATCCTTTTCCCTTCTGATTCTATAAAAGGCCATTTCAGTTTTCCTGTGACTTGAAATTTGTCAGAAGCTTTCAAATACCCTAACTAGTTTGTGGAAAACATAATTGTAAAACAAAGGACAAATTTGAATCTAGATATCTGGAAAGAGGGTTTGTGATTAGTAGTGGAAAGATATACATACACATATAGGCATATAGTGTATGTGTATCTAAGTGTAAACACTTGAATAAACATCAGTGCATATATATGTGATCTCATAGATTGTGTGTATAGACCAGGCTGTTCAGAAGCTATGCTGTGTTTACCTTACTTATGCCTGATTTACTGTGTTGGAAATGAAACCAAGATTTTAAAAAAACACTGCCCTAGCAGTTTTGTCAGAAATAAGGTTTTTGTTAGGGTATTTTAAATTTTGAGAAACATTGTCAAAGTGAAGAAGTCTATTCATTGTCTTCCTTAAATGTACAGATTTCTCTTTTAAGATTTATTTTATTTTTGCATACAGAACTGGGGTACAGGCCAGAGGTGCAGGGGTGGTAAGAGGAATCACCAGAGACAGAGTGGGGAGCAGAATAGGCCAACTGAGGAAGTACACTGCTAAGGGGAGAGCTGGCGGGTCAGGAGAGTTCTGCTGCGCCATGTGGGTCACCTCTGGGACTGGGGATCCAACTCATGCTGAAGTGACGTTAGCTTCATAGTGCTGTGCTTTAATCCACTGTGCCACCAGGGAGGGTCCAAACGTACAGATTTTATGTGGCAGAATATATAGTCCAAAGTGACATCAAAATCCTGGAAACATGTCTCCATTTTTTTTTTTTTTAACTTGGAGTTATATGGCTCTATAGTTATTAAAACTTGTATTTTAAGCGTTGAAAGACCTATTTTGTTTTGACTTTAATATAGTATAATAGTGCTGTTTCTATGCTAAGGTTCATCTGCTTCCAATTTTAGTTCATCTGAAGAGAAGAGTTAGCACAAATCAGCCAGTTGCAAAGTGATCGTGTTTTAAGAGTTTGCAAAGGTTTTTTCCACAAGAATGAATATCCAGCATTGGAGTTCTGCTGGTCAGTTTAGCTGGGGTGTTTGACAAAACCACTGTTGGGTGGGCCCTCCCTGCTGGTACAGAGGGTTAGGATGCAGCACTGCAAGCTAGCCACAGCCACCTCACTGTGAGTTCAATCCCCAGCCCCAGAGGTGATCCACATGGCTCTGCAGACCTGTCCGGACTCATCTGCTGCTCCCCTCAGCAGTTTACTTTGTTGATCTGCCTGCTCGGCTTCTCTCTCTGACTCAGGTGAATCTTCTCACCACCCCTGAACCTTGGGCCTGTACCCCAGTTCTGTATGTATAAACAAATAAATCTTTAAACAAACAAACAAACAAACACTATTGGGTGTTCCAAGTGCTGAAAATTGATGTCAGGCTCAAAATTGATGAAGCCCCAAATTGTTTCCCTTTTACTGTCAAGTTATAAAAATCCTTTGTGTAGTTCTATATTAACTTGTCATTCAGTAATCACTAAAGGGACATGTGATTTTTCAGCCTCATCCAGAATATTTATTCATTGGTGGGAGCTAAGCACTAAAGGAGTGAAGTTAAATGTTGAGTTTTTGGTGCCTGGTACTTAGCATAATTAGATCTTTGATTACTATAAGATCAACTTCTAGATTCTTATAAAAAGTAAAGTGGGTTAAGAAATGATATAGAAGGTTTTGATTATTTAGGATGAACTGGCATAGGTAATAGGGTACTACTTAAGGCTCTACTTTGAAAAGTTGCCAAAATTGCACTAAGAAGAACAGGAAAAATTGGGACTTTATCTTAAAACAACTAAGATATTTATTAAAATAATTTTATTTTATTTTTTATGTAGAAAATGAGGTTATGTTTACAAACATGAAGTTTTTGTATCATCTTGTGAACATGATATGATAGTCTAATGTGATGTGCATCATTTCAAATGCAGTTTTTATGAAAAACATTCTTATACATTTATTTTTGGAAAACTTTATGAATCTTTGATATACAAAATATTCTCTTGACATCTATTTGATCATCATTTTTACTTTCTTTTTATATATTTTTAGTGGTCTGATTTGCTCAGTTTCTCATTGGTTTGATCGTATAGAGTATAATTTGAGTTTATCAATTTTTTTTTTGATTACCTGACTGAAATATTTTTATTTTGGATGTTGTAACTTTATTTTATTATAATTAATATCAAATTATCAGAATTTTACAGATTGCTCTAGTCAGAAACTGATAATATTGTGTTCTTGGGCTGAAATGTTAGCATTCATGTGGTCAGATATGGTTGGATGGGATATTATAAGTATTCTGGTTTTCAATGAATCTCTGTTTGTGTTAGGATAATTTTTTTTATCCTGTGCAATATTTTAACCTGGAACATTTAGCAGCACTCAGAATACAGATATACCTTGTAGAGAAATGTACACATGGAAGTAAATAGTTATTAGAGAATGGTTGGTATAATGGAATTTAAAATATTAGATCTCTTCCCTGTCATTTAATAATACAAACCTTATAAACATTAAAAATAAGTGTTATTTTTTAAAATAAAGTTAAAATTATGTAGGGATTATGTTTGAGAGACTTTTTCAGATGTGATTTTTGATGCTATTTGGTCTATCATGTACATTTTCAAGAAGTTAGGTTTTTATCCTGAGTTGACTGAAGTTAGCCTTCTCTTCTTTGTCATTATCAGTGGTGGATTTCACTTCCAGCTCCTTTTTCTGATTGTACCTCTCAGGAGGATACCTGGAAGCTCTTTCTATAGTTTACTAATACAATAACGTTCAACATGAACATGTCCAGTTCCATATTTTCTACTGTTACCACATATTTTTGCTTACCACTCAAGTAGTAATAAACAAATGTGTAGAAAAATAAAGTAATATATGAAAGATATTAAAATATAATGAGCTAAATTCATAAAATATCTAATGTAAAGGTCTTTAAAAAAATCACTGACTTGATTTTTACATCAGTATGAGGAGTTTGTAGACTGAGTTCCTTGCTTAGAATTAATGAGTTTTTTTTTTCCCCAGTGATGGAAAAGAGAGATTTCAGGAGGCAAAACTAGGTTTGGTTTCTAGCCAAGATTATATTAAACCAAATATAGAACCTTAAAAAGATACCTCTCAGGTCCAAAATGTAAAACAGAATTCCAGTTTTTTAGGATCTGGCAAGATTTCCACAAGACCTCCTTTGGTACTAATGTCAGGTTAAAGGATCATAAGTATTCATATGATAGGCACTGACAAGATGTTTAATTTTTAAAAACAAGAAGAAATTGTTAAAAAGTCAAAGTAGAAATTCAAAATTGAAAAGCAAAGTCCTTTTTAATTTTACTCGATAAAATAGTTTATGTCATTTTCCCCCAGCATATTTTAGTACTACTATTTAGATAATACGGTAATTATCTGTTACATACATGAGAACTCTGTTTTACTCTGCATTTTGTAGACAATAATTTTATTGGTGCTTTGTGACAGATAAGAATATTTTCAAGAAGTTACTTTACAAAAAAATTACCATATGGAATTTTAATGCTTTGTAAAACATAAGCAAATCTTCAAAGTGCCTAATTTAGTTCTAGTTCCTAGGAAGTAGTTTATTAACACAATAGATCATAATATGTGATTTTTAAAATACTTCAGAATGTTTAATATTTGAGCATGTCAGCAAATAAAAAAATATAAAAACACCATCTATTGACACTTGATACTTTTACATCTGGGGAAATAGTCACAGTGATACAAATTATTTCCAGAAGGTTCTACAAGTTACCAATGGCAGAGACAGGAACAGAATCAATCCAATATGCAATGTATCA